GGGCAGGGCCCAATTCCCTGGGTGCAGCCCCCTGTCAGGGCTTAGAAACAGGGGCCAATTTGGGAGTTGGGGGTGCCCCCCTTTTAATCCACAGAAGCAGGGGGGGGATTGGGGAGGGGGCGATGCCACCCTCAGTCACGCTCAGGGTAGGGGCCGATTGGGGGGTTGGGGCACCCGCCCCCCTGTCCACACTCAAGGCAGGGCCGATGAAGAGGTTGCAGTGCCATCCCCCTGTCACGCACAGAGCAGGGCCGATCAGGGGGTTGGGGCGCCGTCCCCTGTCACTCACAGAGCAGGGCCCATCAGAGGGGTTGGGGCTCCGTACCCTGTCACACACAGAGCAGGGTCGATCAGGGGGTTGGGGAGCTCCCCCCAGTCACGCACAGAGCAGGGCCGATCAGGGGGTTGAGGAGCTCCCCCCTGTCACTCACAGAGTAGGGCTGATAGGGGAGCTGGGGCACCGCCCCCTGTCACACACAGAGCAGGGCGGATCAGGGGTTGGGGCGCTGCACCCTGTCACACTCAGGGCAGGGCCAATGGGGAGGTTATGGCTCTACCCTGTCACACACAGAACTAGGCCCTGTGGGGGGGGGGCGTTGGGGCGCCGCATCCTGTCACACACAGAGCAGGGCCGATCAGGGGGTTAGTGCGCTGCACCATGTCAAACACAGAGCCGCAGGGCGATCAGGGGATTGGGGAGCTCCCCCCTATCAGGCACAGAGCAGGGCTGATCAGGGGGTTGGGGCGCCTTCCCCTGTCATGAACAGAGCAGGGCAGATAGGGAGGTTGTGGCCCCGCCCCCTGTCACACACAGAGCCGCAGGGCGATCAGGGGGTTTGGGCGCTGCCCCCTGTCACGCTGATCCCGGTGCCGGGAGGCCTCGCTGCTCCGCTGATCCCGGTGCTGGGAGGCATATTACCCTTTTACTATATAGAATTGAGGCCTGGTGCACGAGTAGGGGCTGGCTGGTTTGCCCTGAAGGGTGTCCTGAATCAGGGTGGGGGTCCCCACTGGGGTGCCTGGCCAGTCTGGGTGAGGGGCTGAGGGCTGTTTTCCGGTTGGTGAGTGACTGAAGCTCCCAACCGCTCCTTGTTTTCTTTTTTTTTTTTTTTTATTCTGGGCCAGCTTTAGCTCTGAGGCCTCACTGCTGAAAACATCGATACAATGTTTCGGTCCGGCTGGGTTTCAGTCCGGCTGGTTTCTGGGGTTTTGTTTAGCTTCTTATTTGCAACATAGTACATAGTTGCTTAGACTTGCAGCTGAGAGGCCGGCAAGTGAGGCGGGGAACGTTGGAGTCTGCAGCAAGCAAGCCTCATACTCGCTTCAGTGCCTGGCTGCCGGCCGCCATCTTGGCTGACAGTTAATTTGCATATACTCACTGATTAGCCAATGAAAAGGGTAGCGGTCGTACACTAATTACCATGTTTCTCTTTTATTAGTGTAGACTAGAGGCCCGGTGCACAAAATTCGTGCACTGGGGGGGTGTGTCCCTTAGCCCTGCCTGAATCATTTTCCAATCTGGGACCACTCGAGGGATGTCTGACTGCCGGTTTAGGCCCGATCCCAGTGGGCAGTCAGATATCCGTCTCACAATCCAGGACTGCTGGCTCCCAACCGCTCGCCTGCCTGCCTGCCTGACTGCCCCTAACCACTTCTGCCTGTCTGTCTGATCACCCCCTAACTACTCCCCTGCCAACCTGATTGACGCCTAACTGCTACCCTGCTGGCCCAATTGCCCCTAACTGCCCTCCCTTGCCAGCCTGGTCCCCCCCAACTGTCCTCCTCTGCAGGCCTGGTTACCACTAACTGCCCTCCCCTGCTGGCCTGGGTCCTCCCCAACTGCCCTCCCCTGCAGGCCTGGGTCCCCCCCAACTGCCCTCCCCTGCAGGGCCAGTCATCCCTAACTGCCCTCCTCTGCAGGCCTGGTCCCTCTCAACTGCCTTCCCCTGCTGGCCTGATTGCCCACAACTGCCCTCCCCTGCTGGCCATCTTATGTCCACATGGGGGTGGCCATCTTGTGTGTTAGAGTGATGGTCAATTTGCATATTACTTTTTTATAAAATAGGACTAGAGGCCCAATGCATGAAATTCATGCAAAGGCCTTGGCACCAG